CATCCGTCATAGTCCATATGTGTATGACTTCGGGAATAATATCCGCTCCCGGAGCATTTTGACTGGGGACACGGAGGTGAAATTACTGGGATATAGCAGAATCATATGTTTATGTAATCTGTGAAAATGGTCTGAATATCATGTATTGCATTAGCAATGTTCTCTGCTCAGTAAATATATCCTTCCTTGGAAAATTACTTGGAAGCGCGCGAGGATGTTAGGCAATTGCGCAGGCAGCCGACCAGGGGAAACGGAATATGCCGTAAATTGGAGGATTGCTTGCTCTTAGTTTTCACATCCTAGTGCTGTCTCCTCAACTTAATTTCCATTGATGTATTACAAGTCTCCAGAAGAGAGTCGTTTACTCTTGTAATGCAGACAACACTGCACATACATGCATATCAGTCTAACATCTTCATATGGTGAAATACAATCTATTTCATTTGACTTTTTCATTTGCTGTCTGGCAAGACATCAGTAAAGTCTGTTTTGACAGTTCCTAAGCCATTCAAGTGGTTACCAATCTTAGAGAACATTCTGGCACAACCTAAACGATAATGTATTACACACTGTTGAAATAGGATATTTTACCATTCCATTATAGAAGATCAAAGGCAGAAACAGGCCTTAAACACGCATTTGCAAGTTTTACATGGGATCTTTCGTCAGTCAGCAGATATAGGCCTACAGTATATGAAATGGTACGGTGGGGAGCCTAGGGTTTTGCTGACTAGCGTAGTAGTGTGTTGAGAGCACAAGTCAATAGAGCACTACATGGGTTCTACATGGAACCCAAGTTCTATCTCGAACCAAAAATTATTATTACATTTACATTTTAGTCATTTAGCAGACGCTCTTATCCAGAGCGACTTACAGTTAGTGAATACATTTTTTTTTTTATACTGGCCCCCCGTGGGAATTGAACCCACAACCCTGGCGTTGCAAACGCCATGCTCTATCAACTGAGCTACATCCCTGCCGGCCATTCCCTCCCCTACCCTGGACGACGCTGGGCCAATTGTGCGTCCTATCGGGACAACAGAAGAACCCTTTTGGAACCCATTTTTCTAAGAGTGTACAACATTTCACAACAGACGTTATTATATAAATATCAGGCATTTCGCTAAGTTTGGGACATGGGAATTAGGGGTCATTTCTATGGGGTTCTAAAATACTGTCAGTTCTATAAATATTCTCTATGCCGATACATACCATGAAACAATCAAGAACTGTCTGTGAACCCACTGAAGTTGATTTGTGGGGTCCAAATCTGAGCCTATTGCACTAGCTGAGTTCCCCATAGACTTTCTGCACCTGGTGCTAAGAACGTCATCGACGGCCCTCTTATTGGAGCGTAGTTAAGTTGCCTTAGAGTAGACGTATAAGGGGCCTAAGGAAAACGGATTGTGTCTGACCTCCCATACACCCTCCTGTTCCCTCGGCCTGCCGAGGTCAACACTAGGTTGTTGTGGAGTAATGACCTGTATGAACGCGGTAACGCTTTTGTCAGCATCAATCTGTTTAGGTACTACTCACGTAGTGCACTTAAGTACCTGTTCTTGAATTACTGGGAAACTTAGTCGGATGCCAGTAGTTTGAGCAAAAGCATGGCATGTCTGCTGTCTTGGATAAGGCTTGATTATGACATAATGAGTGACTGTTTTGGATGATGCAGTGAAACTGAATATCAATTGTTAGCCATTGGCACGGGCACTCACTTACAAATTATTTCCACTGAGTTCTCTGTTTTTTATTTACTACAGTTCAACATTTGTTTGGTCCTCCAAAGTGCTGTAGTATAGTAGGTGCCAGTTATGATAACTCAGAATTACGTTGGTCGATAAAACTCGTCATAAACACCTCATTTGATACATTGGAGTGCCTGGATCCAGTAAGTCTTGGTAGTTGTCTGGAAGCCCAAGTTTTCAGTGAATAAATGCAGTAATGTAGCGTGTTCCAGATACAGCAAACACACACAAAGCCCTAAGATAATGTGAGGAAAGACGTGTTTTGAACTCAAAGTGTTTTTCAATGTCTGAACCTTTAGGCCTTGAGGGAGGCGAGGGGCTGTGAGAGAATAGTAGGCTGAATGACGGCTATGGCTCATATCCATCTCTGTGAACGAAGCAATGTTGCTGTTGTGACTGAGCCGCTAACATCTCACGCGTGAATTCCTCTTCCTCTCCTTTTGTGAGCCGGGCAAGACATTCCAAAGAGCTGCTAAACCTCAACTTCCTAATTACCGGTATTTGTTTACATGAGAGATACGCTTAGTATGCAGGTAAAGACAGAGGAGAGAAAGGCCTTGTCAAAGCAGCCCATTCAGAGAAGAATGATAACAAACACACACTTCTTTCAAATATACCTGCCTCTACTTTATTCTAGTACTGTACAGTACAGTATTTCATTAATATCTGAAAGTCACTATTATTTTATGTTACAATAATGGCTATCATTTACTACAGAAAGTTGCATAAATAATTTAAATGTAGAAATAAAATATAAATATGCAGTTCATTCTTTGTAACAGTCATTCTTTGAGTCTCTAAGTTCTACTCAGAGAATACACTGTAAAAATGGACTGTCTAACTCATTAAAGAAATTGAGAAGTGGCTATACAAACATCTCCAACGGTCAGTAGAACTCAAATCATAAAAGTGGTACTAGCTCATATGTCAATAAGATTTATCACTGATTGTTTATGAGTACTGTTAACAAATATTAGGTTATTGAGTAAATATAACTTTATTTATTTGTGTTCTGCTAATCTAAAGTTATTGAGTTTTTACAAGTAATGATTATTTGATATTTTTAAGTCAATCTAACATGAAACATTATTAAATAAGCAGTTTTTACTTGGTTCTATTATGTTTTACATCTTTACTTAAAATAATAAATTAGTAGTCAGACATTGATATTGGAGTAAAAAACACTTGATTTATCTGTGTTGTGCTGAAATAGAATTATTACGTTTTTGCAAGTTATGAATATATAATAGTGCCATGTGGCTCTGTTTGTAGAGGATTGTGAGTAATTCAACATTTTTAGACTTTATGATACAGTACTTTTACACAATGTTGTATGCATGTTTGAAGAAAGAAAACAAATATTATTAAGCAGTTTGCTGTGCTATGAAGTGTAATTGATCATGATAAACGGATATCAAAACTGTAGGGCAAATTTACTTTCAATAATGAGACAAGAAATTCCCACCATCAACAAAGTAATGTGCACAACTCTTAATGACAGAGGCAAATGCAGAATCCTGTAATGCATACATATATACCTCCAGTTACTGCAAGAAGAATGAGCACTGTGCTCAACAACGCCAGCTAAGGTGGGTTAAAATGACAAATTGTCAAATACATAAAACAATGTTAGACACGACCACTGAAAATTTCTAATCAGAACTACTTACTACTTGCACTTGAAAATGTAAATAGAATGGACCCTAAATGTTTCTGTTCACTACAACAAATATTAATGTTAAAGTAACTTCAACCTTTATAGTTCAGAATATATAATGCAATTTCGTGTCAAATAGTTCAGAAAACACAAAACAGTTAAGTAGTTACAACTTAAAAAGATAACAATATGGGTGATGATGTCACTTTATTACTTAAAGTATTGAACACTGCATACTTGGAGTTGGGTTACTCGAATGGTTCTAGGCAACAGGTTTCCACCCCAAAAAATTGTTAGCAGAACTAATTACTTTTTACAGTGTAGGGCTGAGAGGCAGAGAAGTGGAGGTTATTTTCTCTCCCTCACCCTCTAGGTTCAAATAGTCTCCAGTCAGTGAGAGTGTAGTTGAGTGTAGAATGCTGTGCCTCAAGGTAACAACAGGCACAATTGCTGGAGCCTCCTCTACACATGTGGACCTTTTGTGTGTCTGTGTGGTTCCAGCAAACAGGAACTGGCCATGTCTAGAGGAAATGGCTTTTCATGACTCAAATCCTAAACACAGGAATGGGCTCATTTAGTCATTAAGACGGGTCACTGGAATGCCCAGTCACCTGTTTGACCGCAGGCACCCTGATCTTGGAGTGCTGACACAACCATTCCCCACCCCTCTCTCTCCCTATCTCTTTCACCATCACAGGCCACTAGGGCCACTGGGCCAGGGGCCTTAACTGACAGCTCCTGTAAGGCTGCTATGGAGCAAGGAGGACCCTGGGGGGCTCCTGGTGATTGCGGTGCTCCACTGGCTGTCAGGAGGCTGTGTGGTCTGGGGTCGAGGCCAGGGTCTCTTAGGCCTGTCAGCAGCCCACCTCCAGAGCCTGACGCCCCAGGGCTGCCACGTGCTGCTCAGTACAGAACACCCAACCATTACATTTTACATTTTAGTCATTTAGCAGACACTCTTATCCAGAGCGACTTACAGTTAGTGAGTGCATACATTTTCATACTGGCCCCTCGTGGGAAACGAACCCACAACCCTGGCGTTGCAAGCGCCATGCTCTACCAACTGAGCTACAGGGGACTAACTGTGCTCTAACCATAGAAGAGTTAGAGCACAGTTAGAGCACAGAGACACTTTTCAACCCTATAGGCCTATCAAGCAGTGTAGCCTGCCCAGTGGATGTTTTGACAGGTGGGGTTTGAGTTTAGGTGCACCTCTTGCTGTAGCTAAGGTGGATTCTCTTAATGTCTGAGTCAGAGGCCGTTAGCTATGAACTGGAACATGTAATAACACTGTACACTCCAATCCTAGCAGTGTTCCACCTTTCCTGACCAGTCACATGGCCTTCCCTGGCATTCTGTTGACTCATTTGGTCATGCTAATGAAAAGTTCTGAAACATTTTGGAAAATATTATAGTGCCTGTCTGGTGAGAAAGACACGTGTCAAATCAGTCCAACAAACAGCTTTACAAATCCTTTTTTGTTCAAATGGCTCTTCTTCTCCCTCTTCCAGTGAAGGAGCCGTGTTGGGTGTGTGTAACATGTGCGCGTGTACTGCTTTCGTCTCTGTCGATGTATGGAAGAAGGAAGAGCATCCTCAGTATGAGTTGCTGACCAGCGTTGGTGTGTTGCTATTGTTCCGACTCCCGGGCAGCCAGGTGCGCTTCTTGTTGCGTCTGGGCTTGGCCTCCGAGGAGCTCTCCTTGGCCTCTGACTGGTTGTGGTGGCGGCTGTAGCGCTTGCACTTGCAGGAGGTGACCACGCGGATTTTGTAAGTCCGGCTGTTGCCGTTGGGGCACTGCAGCTGCACCCGCTGGGTTCGAGAGTGGGCCGGGACGCAGCGGTAATCAGAGGCGCTACTCCGCCACCATTTGCCGCGCACGATGGAGTTGGGTAGGAGGTGGGTGGGCATGCACTGGCCCGAGCACACCAGCTCCTTGACGGGCTTGGCACTGCGGCAGGAGCCGTCAGTGATGTAACGGGTGGAGCGCAGCTCCCTGCAGCTCAGCTCCGAGGCACCTGGGGTGAAGAGGAGGAAATCCGGGTTACACACTCTGTGGCATCGCTCCAAATCAAACACTTTGAAGTCGAAACGACTCGAGCGACAACCTTCCATTTAACTATTCAAGAGCAGAGAGCTATACAGTTGTGTCTCTGTGAGATATGTGCTGAATATGTCAAAAATGTGCCTGTGTCAAAAACATATGGGTCCCATTGTTCATATACTGTTATTAGTTTATTCTAAGAATGTAGTTAGTTTGCAAGTGTGGAGCTGGGCTGGGAAATTGAATATGAGTCCGAATTTAAATAATCTAAAATGTTCATAAACTCTTCCTTCTGTTTCACCATTCAGCAAGACATAGAATTTTTTATTTTACATCTCAACAGAGTGCACTTTTTTAGAATTTGACATTCAGTAATGAAATAAATGCAGGGCTGATGTACAAATCCAATTCCAATTGAATATTGTCACATTTGTTTGGTTAAGGGCTCAGTATAAGGTGGGGAATTAGTTCAACTCAACACTAACGTTGATGCGTGATCTGATGATGACTGTTGCCTGAAAATAAGGTTGGATGTGGAATTCCAGCTGGCAGCAATCAGCTGATAGCAAATCCAGAACAGAATGCTATTAAACAGCTCAATCAAACATAATGGAGATTTAAGTCGGAACCAAATACAGGCCCTCCGTAAAAGGATGTGACAATTGGAAACAAGCAAAATGAAGAGAGCATATTCAGTGCATGATTAGTAATTCAATATTTTGGCCATTGCCTTTTCTCAACAGCCCTATGCATTAGTTATTGTTCTCTTTCTTTACAAATGGCGTGCAGAATAGCAGAGAACATGTCGGTTAAGAAATTATACACTCGGAGAGGGATCTGTTTTTCTTTTGTAGCTTTTCTTTTGCGAAAAGGCAAACAAAGGATTTATGGAAGGTTAACTTCCTTTTTTTCTTCAGAGAACCTGATCCGGTTTTTGTGGCTCGGCTGCTCGGGAGGCCACAGTATAAGGGCTCTCCTCTGGTCTCAGGTCTCTCCCAGTGTGCCTACTGCTGAGCCCAGGGACCAGGGAGGGAGGAGAGCCAGACAGACAGAGGTCACCCACTCTGCCTCCATGACCCCACTGGGACCATAGAAGGAATCATGGGAAGATATGGTCCTCCCAGAGGGAGGCAGATAGGCCTATGAGGAAGACCCTTATCTCGTATGATATGACCCATTAGATCAGGGGTGCTCAAAATGTTGGGCTTAGTGGGCCAAAATATAATCTGAGTTTTGGGCCGCGGACTGAACAAATAGACATGATCTATTTAGAAATACAAAAGATAAACAATAGCTTTTTAGGGTCTTTAAACAACAGATTTTTAGGGTCTTTAAACAACAGCTTTTTATTGTCTTTAAACAATAGCTTTTTAGTAAGCAATCATAAAATCACACATCAAACATTAATCAAATTGTAGCCATATTACTTGACACCTAACAACACATTCTGATAACCAGTATTAAATATGTGTTGTTGTTTTTTAGCATTGTGGCACAGAAATTGCAACCAAGTTTCCATCTTCATAAGGATAATAACTTGAATATGTTTCAAATGACTATTGAATAGATTATTGTTTCTCTCTCTGTGTGTTGATGGATATTGCTCAGTATAAGATTTAGAAATATGCATTTTCTTCCAACCCCGCTATGAAGCTGTCTGTTGTTTATGAGGTTTTCAAGTATTATGTAAAATGTATCTCATAGTTCATTACAGCAATTTAGATCCTTGGGACAACGTTTGTAATTTTTACTCTATGTACAGTCTCTATTAGATTTGAAATTATGAGATTGGGGGAAACTGGGCAAGAATGACATTGTGCATCTTGAATCCATGAGAGACTACTCAGAGATATTTCCTCTGTACAAATCAGCATGACTACAGCGTAACCTTTACTGGCGACAGGTGGGAGTCATTCTCCAGCACTGTGTTGCATTTAACCAGCAATTTCCAAATACCCAGAAGAAATCCCCTAAGAACAGAAATCCTGGCATGTTCTATTTGGACACATGTTGTTGCGATTAAATAGTTATGGCATTGGCAGACCTTGACTAATTGTATACAAGAGAGGGAAGTAGCATGGAGTATAGAGTGAAAACCCTGATCTCTTGTAATTTAACCTCTTCAGATTGTGTGAGGAGAAAACCACAGGCATATAACATGTTGCTCTCTCAGCCTTTGCATAGCATTCATCTAACCGCAATCCTGCTTCCTCCATTCAACAGTACAGCTGTTCCAGTCTAAACACCATTGTCAAGCATCAACAGGGAAAGCTGCAATTAAAAATGGCCACTGGCGTTTCTTAGGCTTTACCCATGATTTGATATTGACTATTCTATATAGAAAAGTAGCACTTTTCGGCACTTTCAGAAATTAAATGAAAAATTATTGGATGTTCTGGGTGGTCTTTGGAGGGTTTATTTGGCATAATGATCCACATAAACCACACAGGTGAGGAACCATTCCCCAGGTGATAGAGTGACTATACATTGATAATTTAATCGATGTCAAAGCGCATGTTTTAAGATTAAAAGGACGTGTGTGGTCTTACACATTGACGGAAAATAATTAACCCCTGCGTAAAGGACAACAGGCTATGCTGGGAAATTAAATGCGTGGAGAGTGCGCGTTCTTTGAACAGTGCAGACGGTCAAAAAGCTATCTGTTTGAGAACATAATGTCAATCTAACATACCTAACATGATACATTATTAGATACTGTAAAAACGCCCCGGTTTACCATAAATTGAAAGCGCTATTTTTTCACCAAGTGATTGCTCATATTACGCACGAGTACAGTACAGCTGTTCATAGATCTCCATGAGATATTAGCACCATCCCAAGCAGTTTATTTTAAACTTTTCAATTTGATATAAGTACCAATTATTCAAACAGTGTTACAGTAAAATTCAAAGGAAATATTATTAGATTGATTAAACAATATCAAATTATTGAACGAAATTGATTAAAGATTATCCATACAGTTTAATAATTTATCTTCCAATCTCACATTGTACGGGTGGTTTACATGTTTTACAAGTAATGAGAGTTAGTAGGCCTAATCATAATGCGCCCAGAATATGGACATGTAAACCTGTAGTCCTAATAGCTCTCTAGGCTATCAGATAACGTTTAAAAATAAATACTCACTATAGGAGGCTGTGTTTGCTGATGATCTCCTTCCCCCGTGTTTTGGTCGATTCATTGTATTACTGTTGTTATTAGAAGCCTGTAGTATTGGTTCCTCGGGAGGCTGTGCGTTTTCAGTATATTCTGGTATGATTTCTGTAGCATCGTTTTTTAGTACCCTCCATCCTTGCACGACGGTGCAACATCCCTGTAGCAGCAGCAGCACCGTACTGGAGACGAGGAGCGCGAGAGACACCTGCATGCTTATCGATCAGCGGTATAGCGGGAAAAAAACGTCGGGTAAAATGTGCTCTGTGACAACTTCACCAATTCCAACCATACAAGATACGTTGACGCTATTTAAGTACCCAAGCTTTCGTCAAAACGGACAATTAAGCGCTTACACAAAGTGGGAGGGGCCCAGCCCCAGCCAAATGCATTGAGAAACTGGTGGGGAGGTGCATGGGCGCTCGCATGGAGAGGTGCGCACGTGTTTGGGTACGTTGGGCGCATCCACCTCTGGCTGTGTTCTCTTTGGGTTCCTGTAATGCGGCTTTTTTCCTTCGTGATTAACGCACTACGTGTCTCAAAAGTATTCTAGTTGTTTTTAAGTGTTCTGTTTGGAAAGTAATGCAGGGCGCAGTCGGGAAGGCCATTGAGTGATGTTTCATGGCTAGGCTGCTTCCCTCTCCATCATAGACAATGTGTTTGATAGCTGAGGCAATTTTGTTAATACAATTATACGTTTTAAAAAACAATACATGAATAATAGGCCAACAATTAATAGCAAAATTGTGAAATTCGTACATTTTGACAGGTCGCAACAGTCTATTTGCAATATTACTCGTTTGTTTTATTGCATTTATTTTATTGTTGTTTATTGTAGGCTCGTGTATCTGCTTTTAAATTAGTGTAGACTATTGACCAACTTAAAACATTTATTGCACAGTCATAGACCACTTGAAAAGTATCTAGAAATGTAGCACAATTCTTCTTCAGACAACTCATAACTCACTATCACTATTTTCTTCCTGATTCTTTGATCCACTGAGAATGACAGGTCCCATCCTGTATCTAGTGTCTGGTACTCTGGTTTGAATAAAATCATTTGGACAGAAAAGATGGACCCAGCTAACTCTTGGCATCCTTGAAATCACAGTCTTTGTGTTGGAAGTGCTGAAAGCTGGAGGCTCCATTGTACAAATACTGCCCTCCTGAGGGACAATAAACAAATAAACTGTTCAGAGGAAGTAGATAGGATTATGTCGAGCTGTGGTCATAATGAGATGTTTGATGGTTTCCTTCTAGCTTTAGGCCTAATCCCACTGGGCACAGACATCAATTCAATGTCTATTCCAAAGTGACGTGGAAACAACGTTGATTCAACCAGTGTGTGCCCAGTGGGTTGAAACCAAACATCAGGGTTGAAATTGATAGAGCAAGCCAACAGGCTTCAAAACCATGCCAATAATAATCAAGGATAAGGATGATTTCATTATTGTTGCAATGTTCCTTTCTCTATTTCAGCCACCCCAGGAGCCACAAAAAAAAAACAGCCTAGAACCTGTCAAAAAGAGAGATCAACTTGCTTCGCTTATGGTGGACTGGACACAGCTCTCCCTATAAGACTCTGTCCGTGTTTCTCCATGTCCGGGCTCCTGTCATTCCCTTGGTAAAGAACGGTCCAGTGTCCACCACAGAGCCAGCTCTGATTACTACCTTCCCTCCCTGTCGATCACAGTCCTTCTGTTTTTGGTTTTCTGAATAGAGCACCCGGGCTCCAGCACTTTTTTACTGCTTCATCATAATAACAGTCAAGGCCCTGAATAACAATCAGATTCTCTCCAGATTGTCTAAGGGCCGCCAGCAGCGTAAAGGGATGGTTGGATATTTTATTTTATAGGAGACATACAAACACAATGTCTGAGCCACATAAACAAAGCATTTAGCTCCTCGGGACTGGAGGACTGGGAGTTTGGAAACAGTGATTCATCTGACGAGGATACTAACTACTTGAACACACAGGCTTGAAATAGATGTTGATTTCAGATGCAGTATACTGTTGGGTAAAACTGATGGTAAATGGTATGTGAAATGGTAAAATTGTCTGTTTTGCAATGATGTTTGCCCAAATTCTGAATTGCTTACATATTTCGTCATTGTTTAAGTCAGTCAACAATGTGTTGTCTGTAGTTAGGCAGAGTATCAACAAAATGCTTCAGATATCTGGCATCTTCCCCTACATACAGTGCCTTCGGAAAGTATTCAGACCCCTTGACTTTTTCCACATTTTGTTTCGTTACAGCCTTATTCTAAAATGGATTAAATATATTTTTTTCCTCATCAATCTACACACTATACCCCATAATGACAAAGTGAAAACAGTTTCTTTTTTACATTTTTCCAAATGTATATAAAAAAACAAAACAGAAATACCTTATTTACATAAGTATTCAGACCCTTTGCTATGAGACTCAAAATTGAGCTCTGGTGCATCCTGTTTCCATTGATCATCCTTGAGGTGTTGCTACAACTTGATTGGAGTCCACCTGTGCTATATTCAATTGATTGGACATGATTTGGAAAGGCACACACCTGTCTATATAAGGTCCCACAGTTGACAGTGCATATCAAAGCAAAACTCAAGCCATGAGGTCGAAGGAATTGTCCGTAAAGCTCAGAGACAGGATTGTGTCGAGGCACAGAACTCGGGAAGGGTACCAAAACATTTCTGCAGAATTGAAGGTCCCCAAGAAGACAATGGCCTCCATCATTATTAAATGGAAGAAGTTTGGAACCACCAAGACACTTCCTAGAGCTGGCCGCCAGGCCAAACTGAGCAATTGGGGGAGAAGGGCCTTGGTCAGGGAGGTGACCAAGAACCTGATGGTCACTCTGACAGAGCTCTAGAGTTCCTCTGTGGAGATGGGAGAACATTCCAGAAGGACAACCATCTCTGCAGCACTCCACCAATCAGGCCTTTATAGTAGAGTGGCCAGACGGAAGCCACTCCTCAGTAAAAGGCACATGACAGTGCGCTTGGAGTTTGGCAAAAGGCACCTCAAGACTCTCAGACCATGAGAAACAAGATTATCTGGTCTGATGAAACCAAGATTGAACTCTTTGGCCGGAACGCCAAGCTTCACATCTGGAGTAAACCTGGCGCTCAGGACCTCAGACTGGGGCGAAGGTTCACCTTCCAACAGGACAACGACCCTAAGCACACAGCCAAGACAACACAGGAGTGGCTTCGGGACAAGTCTCTGAATGTCCTTGAGTGGCCCAGCCAGAGCCTGGACTTGAACCTGATCGAACATCTCTGGAGAGAACTGAAAATAGCTGTGCAGCAACGCTCCCCATCTAACCTGACAGAGCTTGAGAGGATCTGCAGAGAAGAATGGGAGAAACTCCCCAAATACAGGTGTGCCAAGCTTGTTGCGCCATACCCAATAAGACTTGATGCTGTAATCGCTGCCAAAGGTGCTTCAACAAAGCGTTGAGTAAAGGGTCTGAATACTTATGTAAATGTGATATTTCAGTTTTTTATTTTTAATAAATTAGCAAACATTTCTAATAACCTGTTTTTGCTTTGTCATTATGGGGTATTGTGTGTAGATTGATGAGGTAACCCAATTTAATCAATTTTAGAATAAGGCCGTAACGTAACAAAATGTGGAAAAAGTCAAGGGGTCTGAATATTTTCCGAAGGCACTGTACACCCTGCTGGCATGATATCTTACATAGTGTGAGTTTAATTTGTAGACAGGGTCATATAGAGTGTAACCTGGAAAAGATACAATTCATGCAGGCTATGAAACAATATATACTGTATCCCAATCCCTTCATTTCCCTCTCTTCACACATGCCAACTTCACAGTACTGTGTTGAGAAGAATGCACTAAATCTAACGTTAGCTCAATTAAATGGAGGGATCCTGAAAACCACAAATTGTAAGAGATGTCGCAGGAATCTGCCTATAGTTGCTATGGGCTTTGTAGAGGAGGTATTGGATACATGTATAAATGGAACAATGTGTATGAGCTGAGCTACTTGGGAAAGATGACGTTATCAATCCATGGAAGTACACCCTGGACATGTTTAAAACCACTGCATTATTGGCAGGGGTTCTGCATTGTATCAGTGTATATCTTGCAGGGTAGGAACGCGCTGCTTTGCTTTCCAACCATCCAGGCAAATGATTTATCATCCATGCATATACACACAATTCATTCTAAATCGTATCTGCACATTGTCACACAATGAAAAGATTTATCAACATGTAATATAATGTTGCCTGGCCCGGGCCATAAAGTAACACTCTCCACAGAACAAAATATGTTTCCCTTCCAGGAAAGGCTTTCAGGCTATTGACTTTCACCTTGCCTTAACGCTATAGCTGAAGCCAAACTAACTGTGTGAAAATCCTCTGCAATTTGAAAGCTGAAGCTAGAATTTCAACAAACATATGTCATGACAGGACTGGAATTGTTGAGCTTTACACCACCCATCTCTCTGTATGGTTTGTGCGAAAGAATCTGAATAAAACACATGAGGATAGCATGCAGTTTATCTCCCAGCTCCATCCTCTGTTCTAAAACATAGGCCTAAAACCTAATACTCCCAACCGATGGGTTGGCTGACAATATCACAAAATGATGTGCACGCATCGATGTGGCCTGAAGCCGTGCTTAGTTATGATTATGAATGGTCAGATAGCTAGCATCAATGACAAGAAGGTGCCATGTGGGGAATCGTAGGTGGCTCGTTTCAGTACGTTTTTATCTTGTTCTTGATACCATGTCTTGTTTTGAGGTGTATTGACTGATTTCATGTCAATGCTAATAAGGCTAAAATTCGCTAGCTAGCTAACCAACTGTAATGTATTTGAGAGACAACAAGTGTTCGTTGTGCAACAACCAACCCGTTTATTCACGTAGGTAGATGCTAGTCTCATTCCAAGCCCTGGTGAACCAGGCTAAGTAGACACCAGCAGGAGAAAATAACATCCTTCATCTGTTGTCCCAGTGCGTTCCAAACAGAGCCTTCATCATCTAAATCCGCTCCGTACACATGAGCCTTGTGGTGGGAACTGTGGGAACCTTGGCTGCGGCTTGACTGGGGAGCCTGGACAGGCCTCACAGTCCACCATAGGCCATGTGCTAACCAGCCGCGTTACCCAGCATGCTGCTCACCACGCCGCATGCCGCAGGTGCTATTCTTAGCTGCCCAAGTTATTACCCTGGAAATTATCCACTCCTAATC